AATGAACACTTGGGCATAAATCAGCATGAAAATAAATTACTTACATGACTGTATAAGGTTTGAAGTTAAAGATAATTTTATAAATTAATATCTTTTATAAGATAATACAATGGAGCGGGATGCAATACTGCAGACAGTCAGTAGAGGGAGCTCTAAATCCTTTGACCACGTTGCCAGTGAACTCTGCTGGCATCAATTTTCATACAAATACAAAGTCATTTTCTCTGACCCCTACTTATGTGTTTGTGAGTTTTCAAAGGAAACTTTATTGACATGTACAAATTAAGCACTCAGGCCCTGCGTGTGCGGCTGTTTCATCGCCTTCTACTATGTCCTTATCACAATATGCAGTTAAATAAACGGTGTGTGTTTGTGTGGATTTGTGTGTTTTAGAGGGAAAAAAAGGAAGAAAATAGAAAAATATCTGAAGGGTACATTGGTCTCTGTGTCTCACACATGTTTTGACAATTCTGCAAGCTAATCCCTATTGTTGCTGCTCTGCAGGCTGGGAGGTGTGTGTGTGTGTGTGTGTGTGTGTTTCAGTGTGTGGTACTCTTGGAAAACCTGTAGCTGTGTGGATAACGCCTTTGTACCGGGACCCCCACGTCATGTCTCCACGCAGTAGCTCCTGAGCTTTGCATAGCTGAGGTGTTTTCTATGTATCCAGGAAGCACTTTGGTAAGCTCTCTCACTCCTTTTTATTTACGTGAATAAAATCTGTGTAACAGGTCACCGAGCTGCTCAGAATACACAGCTCGTTGTAAAGTATGTCGAGGTACAGAGAAGATATTTTCCGAGCTTTGTGTTCAGTCAGAGAAAGACATGCTACATGCTCCTGTGTCTGTTGTCTTTCACACTCACTCGTCTTGTGTGGTTTGGATTTCAAACTCTGCTTGGACTGCATATCTGGGCTGCTGGCCACCTCACACACAAGCTTTTCCACTTCAGAATCTCCCTGACACACACACACACACACACACGCTCACACACACACTACATACTCCACCACCACCTCAAAACACACACTCGCTCATACAATTGCTGAGACACTCTTTTCAAACCATGCTAAACCTTTAGGCCCAACAATACAAGCTGGACCTAATCTTGTGGCCCTCGTCCAATCAGAGCGCTGGAAACAGGAGAGTGGGAATTGATTGGCCGGCAGCCACAGGGGCCAGTTAGGGGACGGAGAACAAGAGGAGACAACCATTGTTGATTGATTACCATGAAAGACACTTTTGTTAGCGACTTGAAGGCAGTGCACTGTGCCTGTGTCAGGAGGAAATGCTAGCGGTCTCAAAATAGGTCACAGCTCAAGACACCAGATAGCGAGGTGTACGCAACACAATCCCACCGCCCCTCCGAGAAAGAGTAAGGTTCATAGATTATTAGCTGTGAGTTGTATTGATTAGCTGCGGTGCAAAGGTTAGCGGAGCCGTGACTAACAAAACACTGCGGAGAGCAGAAGTAGGAGCAGAGTGATGTGAGAAAAGAGGCGAGGAAATACGGCCCATGAGCTTCACTGTAAACTTATCAAACTTAATCATCACTTCACAGCGGCTGAAGACGCTTTTAATAACTGACGACATTTCAGGCTTGATCCCAGCTCAACGCCGACCCCTCCTCTCCACGTTGCAACTCCTCCAAGAGGAGATGGGGCTTATTTGTTCTTCTGGCAGCGGTTCGATTCCCAGAAAAATCACTCTGCAGCGTCTGCGCGCACCAATAAGTCAACAGGGATTTAAAGTGTAGAGCGGGGAGATAAGGTTGAAACGGTTTCAGCTTTATTCTGACGTTAAAAAATGATCAGACGGAGCAGTAATCTCATTTGCAATCCTTCCTCTTTGGAAATCAGTGAGTGTGTGGTCAGCGTGTTATAAAACTATATGACTGCTTGGATAAAGTTAAGTGATGGGTTTTATGGATGTGCCTGTTCCTCTGATATTGAACCACGTTTTTATTTGTGTGATTTCATCTTATTGAGTTAAACTTAATGGACTGACTGCTGTTTCTGGAATGTTATCTGCCACGCTACAGGCGAAGAACAATAGCGTCCAAGAGTCCCGTCTGAGCGCACCACCAACCGCTCGAAAAACATACACGCACATGCACCTCGTCTCATTCTTTGTGCTGCCCCACACAGATCAAAATAATCATCGAAAAATCCCATCTTTTCACTCCGCTCTTGTGTAACCACTGTACGTTCTCGCTCTTTGTTGCACCTACACACCATTCACACGAGGAAAAGCATCAATGCACGACGTAGATCAAACCTGAGATGAAAGAGCGCCCTTCATATGAGCCACCGGTCCCACATCCTGCTTAAAATGCGATACATTGTGAGCGCTCTGCCAAGGCGAAGGTCCTCACTGTGTCAGTGGCACTGATAGAAAGAGACAGAGGGGTGGCGTGCTTCTATTCACAACCAACACGCACATTAGCATAACTCCCACAGCGTGGATGAACTACCTGACCACCTGCGGCTGCACCACACACACTTGGAGACCTCAGCTGCTCCTTGCACCCTTTACTTTCTTGCAGGTTTCTGTGATCATAAAGGAGTAGGACCTAAAAAACATGAAGTTTCTCTGAACCAGTGAAAGACACAAGAAGAGTTACAGTGAGAAAATAAAGAAGTTAGCAAACAACTCTGCGCCTCTTTGAAGCCTCTTTCACGTATGAACTCAAAGCAGGGAAATATTTGCATGGTGAAACTGTGCTGGCAGAACTTCTTTCCAGCTCTGTTGCAGAACTGCAGTGTGCAAAAGGCGACTGAGTTTGTCAAAACTGCCTCACAACTCAGAAAGAGTGAAAAAAACACGATCCACGGACTGTGCTTTCTCCAGCTAAAGTCAAAGTCGTGGATATCGTGGGCTTTTCGTATGTACCCTGGAACTCCTGTTTCTGTCCCGTAGTTATTTCACTGATAGAGTTAAACTAAAGCTCGACGAAGAAGAGAGGCTGAGAGTTGGCGCAGAAAGTTTGCTCCAAATTGTGACACAGAGACATCACTGAGAAAGGATTCTTCTGTGACTAACAGCTTGTTGTGTGTCAGATGACGGGAAGTTGCCTTCTCATGTTCTCCAAACTCGTCCACACCTGTTTACCTTCAGTGAAGTTGTGTGGGCTGTAATACAGAGGTGTGTGTGACCTTTATCACAGGGTTTGAACACAGTGTTGGTCAGTGTGTTTGACTCCAATTAAGCAAAAACCGAAAAGACTAAATAAGTGGACTGAGTGGACTATAGTAGAGGCTCAACAGTCACTGAATTATATCCAAACTAGAAAAGCACTCAGAGAGCGCAGACCTCCGCCAAGCAGCTCATGTTCCCCTTATATTGTGATTCACACCAAAACTTTTACTGTTACGTGTCTTTTATTAACTTTTATTTGTGTTTAAACTGGTATGTTCACCTTCTGGTTGTGAGGCCACAGTGCTAACCACTACACCACTGTGCCGCCGATTCGTTATCTTTCAGCATTGAAAATTCCAACGACAGCCTTATCTTATTTTTGCACCGTATAGCAAAGGATCGTCAACGATACACTCACTCTCAAAACTTAAACTTGGTTTGATTAGACGAGAGGAGAGAGGTTTTAGTAGCGCACTCTTTTTTGATGGCGACTGTTGACATTTTGGCAAAGCTAATTGTGCGTTTGAGTTACCTCAGAAGTCAGATGTTGGAGCTGAAAATGACGTCATATCCGAGTTACCAGCGCCAAGTCAGAAAAAAGCAAATTGGAGGCAAAAGTTATTTTAGCGCTTGCCTTGTCCTTGTTGTATTTGGACAAGGCAAGCGCTAAAATGACTTTCGTAGATGTAGCCATCTTGTTTCCGTCTCCGATTTTGCCTTTTTCCGACATCAGAAGGGCATAACATCAGAAGCTAACAACAAGTAGTCCTGGAAACTTTCACGAGTGGTAAAGGCCAATAAAGACGCAAAGCTTAGCTCAATGTGAGAGATTTCATCTTCCAAATTATAATTACAACGTCATTTAGCAGACGCTTTTATACAAAGTGACGTACATACGATCACACACCAGCAGAGGACACACACTCGGTTTGGTGTCTTGCCCAAGGAAACAACAGACAGACTCGGGATAGGGGAGAATTGTTGGACAATGTTCTACCTCCTGAGCTCCTGCTGCCTTTTCCTGCTTCAAATATTACCGGCTGCATTCACACTTACTCACCCTGACTTTTTGCAGACTTTTCACTTGGGGGTCGAAGGTCAAAGTTTGCTCAAAGTCCAGATGAACAGATAGGGGTATTTGAGTTTTCACATGCACTCAACTCGGAGGATGCAGTGCATGTTTAAAATGCGTTTATTGTGAGCAGAAGTGGGAGTTTTAAAGTATGTTACTTATTTCCAAACAGCTGTTATCGTCACACTGCTTTCAGATTGTCTTTATCTCTCCCAGTGTGAACAGAAGTTTTGGAGTTTTTCAGCCTAAACTCACAAACAGCCTGCTTACACTTCTGTTTACATGTGAAAGACTCTTCTCCTCCATTGTGGGCTCTTGTTGATGTCAGCAGAAGCTCGATTATCCCTGATATGTTTTGAGTTAAAGACAAGCAGGCCTAAATGAGAAGCAGACATTATTTGTTATCTGTAGAGTTGTGCGGGTAAGCTTGTTGAGCCCCCGATGAGGAAATGTCGGGGATAGAAAGTTTTTGCATGCATTACAAGAACAGCATGACTAAGACAAATGTCTTTGCGTTTGTGGGTGTGATTCTGACCAAAGAATTTTGTGCATATTTGGGAAATGAATAAAAAAATGCAGCGGGTGAAAGTTGCCAGAGTTTGTTCTCTCTCTCTCTCTCTCTTGGAAACTTGTTTTGAAGGAGGGGTTTTCTTGGAGGATAAGGGGTAGGAGGAGTGTCCTGGAGGCCAGTGGGAGCCTCCCCCGGGGCTTTGATAGGCTGAGACTGTTGTGAGTGAGTGCAGGGGAGGCCAGTAGGAAGGTGAGTGGTCTGGGAGCCTGTTAGGGGGGCAGGCAGCTGCACAGAGCAGCCACCACTGCCTCTTAAAGCCTAAGGTAGTCCTCATTTCAGCTACAGACTGATAGACAGAGAGCAGGAAGGGCTGGAGACAGGTCTGAGAGAGAGGGAGAGGGAAGGAGAGTGAGAGACTGTGAACAGGGAAAGTTAGACTATAAGCAGTCCTACTTGTGTGACCACTCTTCCTTCCCTCTGCACTACCTGAGGCACACACACACACACTCACAGGGAGGTGATTCAGGGAGGCTTAGAGGGCCGACTCTCCAGGGAGGAAGGGAATTAAACACTTTTGTTTTTAATTCTTAGCGTCCATACTCAGGACAAAAAGAAGGATTACAGCTTGTTCGACAGCCCCACTTGTTCCTCTCCTCTCCCTGCATTTTGTCCTCACTGAGTCACTTTGGAGACTTTGGATACAACCTTCCTGAACTGTTGGTTGGAGCTCAGAGAGGCATGGCACACGGACAAAAGAGCCCCAGGTGGGCATTAACCCAGGGCCCCTTCAGCTTGGCACTGGGCCTGTCGCTCTTCTCCCTCCTCCTCTTCCTCCTCACCGTCTCGGCCGCAGATGAGTACGACTACTACAGCTGGCAGTCGGACAACTTCCACAATGGCCGCTTCTACACCAAGCAGCCGCAGTGCGTGGACATACCAGCTGACCTGCGCCTGTGCCACAACGTGGGCTACAAGAAGATGAGGCTGCCAAACCTGCTGGACCACGAGACCATGCCAGAAGTCAAGCAGCAGGCGGGCAGCTGGGTGCCCCTCCTGGCCAAACGCTGTCACGCTGACACCCAGGTCTTCCTGTGCTCGCTGTTTGCGCCCGTTTGCCTGGACAGGCCCATCTATCCGTGCCGCTCGCTGTGTGAGGCTGTGAGGGACAGCTGCGCTCCGGTCATGGAGACCTACGGCTTCCCCTGGCCGGAGATGCTGACCTGTGATAAGTTTCCCATTGATAACGACCTCTGCATCCCCATGCAGTTCACTGGGAACCACGCCACCCAGCCACCAGGTAGGCCAGCTGTGTGCACATGCACCTATTATGATACACACACCCTTTTTCAAGCATGCACACACACACACTCGAATCAACACACCTACAGGTTAAAGTCCACAATGGTGTAAATAAGAGCAGTTATTGCAGCATTTTTGCTAAAAAAAAGTCACTTTGCAAGAGTCTGATGTTTAGCTGCAGGTTAAAGGTGTTTCCAACAACATGTAAACATGACTTTTATGGAAAATCTAAGATTACTGTCCTCTCAAAGTGGATTAATTTCTGCTCTTTAAATCAAAACATGTGAAAGAAAATCTAAAATCCTCCTTTAAGACAGGAGCAGAGTCCTACTGGATTGTTTTGTCAATTTTGAGTCCAAAAAGCAAATCATGGATAATGATTTCAAGACTTTATGGGTTAAAAAAGTCCCTGAAATTTGTTTGAAAACTGTCTAGTCCAAGTTTTTCAGCTTCAAACACTAATATGAAGTTGTTTTAGATAGAAAGTGGGGTGGGAAGGAAGTTTTTTAACTGATCAAAATGATAAAAACCTTGAAGTCATGTAGTTTAAAACATAACTTAAGAGCTTGTAGAGTCAGATACATTCAGCGCTTAAAAATGTCTGTGAGGATCACATGCTCCCCCTCTTACTAAAAATGATGACAGACGGCGGTTTGATTGCAAGAATATCCTGAAGAGTTTAGAGAGAGAGAGAGAGGGAGAGCAGGACGGGGCTTAGGGGGGAAAGTTCCCGAGTGAGAGGACGGTTCAGGACGGCCATCTCCACCTGCCTCAGGGAGGGACAGAGACAGACCCAGAGAGACAGACAGGAGACTGAGAGACTCCGGCAGTCAGTCAGTCAGTCAGATCGCTCCCTGAGTTAAGATGAATGGACTGTGATGTTAAACACATCAGAACTGGGAAGGTGAAACACACTCACATGCAAACACACACACACACCTTTATCAGCAGGCATCAATCAACAGGTAATCAATCAATCTAACAAGTGAGTGAAGGTCTGATTTCAGGCTGTCATGCGTGCAAACCGGCCTGGAGAGTGTCGAGAGACCCAGAGAGGGATGAGAAATGAAGGGAAAGAACCACATAAAGGTTTCTAAGAGGGATTTAATTCACAAAAATGGAAAATATGATTGAATTTCTCTCAGGCTGTGAGTAAGAGGACAGACAAATGGAGCAAGTTAGAGAGAAGGAGTGAGAACTAAATAGAAAGAAATAGGTGTGTGTGTGTGAGAGTGAGTGTGTGTGTGTTCACAGCGACTACTTAAGCAGCTTCTTCACAAAGGCAGTCAGCGCTGCGAGAGGGGGAGAGAGGGAGTCGATGAGGGTCTTTAAGGGGGGACAGTCCCCACTGTGTCCCAGCCTGCTCAGCTTTTGTTGGGTCTGGCAGCCAGCGGGCCAATTAGCTAGAAGGCCAATTACTGAGCTCCGGCTAATTAGCGGACATGACAGGACAAGAGAGGCAGACGGGAGAATGGGGACGGCTGAAGTGTGATTGTTGCTGCATGGAGGAAAGTGAAAGGAGAGGAGACAGAGAGAAGCAGACAGACAGAGAGAGAGAGAGAGAGTGGAGAGAAAAGGAGAAAAGAGTCTTCCTGAAGCTGCTCAGAGAAAATGCTTTATTACCCTCTTTATAAGCGTTTATAGCCACGCAGTTTATGGCATTTCCTACACACTTGGGAATTCATCCTCCTGCGTCGACAGTTTGAAAAAGTTTTTGTGCATGTTGACTTTGGGTCCAACTCTGCAGTTTTTAAATATATTTAAGTTTTTTTTTTCCCCATCTTTGACAAATTGCACATTTCTAATGCATTAAAACTCACAGCCAGCATCTTTCTCCTGCTGTCAGTCGTAAACCATCTGTGCGGCGTATCTTTGCTCTCTATCAGCAATGTTCGCAGCAAGCTGATATCCGACTATCTGCGGAGCTATCTTCAAAAGTAGGGAAAAGAAACAGTTCCAGGATGCGGAGCTGACTTATTCCATTAGGAAAAACAGCTGCTCTGTTTTTCTAGGACTGGTATCAACTATGTGACATTTGGGCTCTGAGCGGCCATAACTCATTCTCGTACACGCTCCCTGAGAGGGAAGGCAGCTCAGACTTAATCTGTCACCTCCTCAAAACAGGAGAGTGTTTGTTGATGCTATCTAATCAAATAATGATCAGAGGCGGTTAGATCACAGATAGGGCGCAGGGTGAGGGGAAATATGCGGAGGGGTTTTTGTTATTGGGCAATTCTGTGCAGCGGGGAAAACAGGCGTGAATGTGCTGATTTTGAAGGGGTGAATAAAACATGGCGTACTGGTTAAGTTGAAATGATTACATTCGGGTGTGAAGGGGTGTGAGTGTGTTTTTGAAACCGAGAGTGAACCTGTATCACTTCTAGCCCGCAGGCTCAGTCACTGACATTTTGTTAAGAAGCAGAGATTCTCAGATGTGCCGACAAGGCCGTCCCGAGGACAGGATTTTGGCTCTCCAGCACATGTACACACACTAACACACACTCACACGCGCACACATACAGAAACACAGCCAGCAATAATAAAAAAATGAGTCTCAGCTTAAATCTATTAGAGGACAGTTTCCTGGGAAGCCTCTGTGTCAAAGGACGTGGATGATTTTCTTCTCACAGGATCATATGAGGACTCCTGTGGTAATCCAGGTGAATCTTTGGGAATTGGATCAAGAGCGGGAATTAAGTGCCGCTCTACCTCCCTGTCCGGGAGGCCCCTGATGCTATCTGAGCTATTCTGTGATTACATGATATCGTACTGTTGGAGAGCTGCTGTGGAAACGGACGGTACAGAGTTCGATTCACTTTCCACCTGTGTCATCGTCAGAGTAGAGAGGAGCGCCTAAACACGCCGAGCTCTGTCAAACTGACCCGTGCGTGTGTGTGTGTGCATTTAGTGGTGATTTTGCCTGTTTGTGTGTATAACAAGGTAGATATGATTGTGTTCATGTGGGAGATATTTAATGGGATAGATGATCAGACTGACGACTAAAGAGAGCAAAAATCGTCCAGCTGAGCCTTGTCTGCACAGTTGATACTACCCCATAAATCCGCCTCAGTCAGTACGTTTACGTGACACTCGAGAAAACCGAATTACTGCCTTACTCCGATTAAGACCGGACAACTGAAGTGCATGTTAACACCTTAGTCCGACTATAATCGGAGTTTGAGAACTCTGATGAAGACACCCAGATAATGCGGTTGGAGTTCGATTTTCTCTACCATGGAACCAGCGTAGTCGGAGTATGATCGGACAATGCATGTTCGCCACGCCTTCATAACCCCAGAACAAAAACACCAGAGAAGAAGTCTCTATCAGAACTTTCAACTCAGAAGCAACAGTAACATGGCTGAAACATGAAAGAATGTCCACTTTTGGAGCGATGAGGAGAGCGCCGTTATGTTTTCCGTCCTAACAGAAATGGACATTTTAAAGCATATGGACGGTCGCAAAATAAGGAACGGAGACATCTTTAAAAAAGGTCTGGAAACAGCGATATAACCCCCTAGTTTTGGGGAAGAGGACATGCTCACGCCAATAATTCGATTTTCACAGCTGCATGAAAACGCGAAAATACGAATTATGAGCTTAGTCCGATTAAATTGTGCATGTAAACGCACAGAGTGGTTAGATTAGATTAGATTCAACTTTATTGTCATTACACTGTTCAGAACAATGCAATGACATGCAGTTTAGCATCTAACCAGAAGTGCAAAAGCGCAAGTATCAGATAATATTTACAGCATAGATAAATATATTTGTATACCCACATATACGTATATTTATATATATATTTACACATAAATAAGCAATGGTATGAAGTTGCTACTGTCAATATTGTCATAGGGTGAGAGTTTAAGAGAGTGACCAACAGGTAAAAAGCAGAGAAAGCTTCCTCCGTGTCTTTTTTAGGTGAAAGGGTTAAACTTCATAACCTAAATTGCATGTTTTTTACTGAATATCCACAACAATAGCAGCGTTGTCCACTCAAAGTGGTAAAATTGCATGGTGTGAAAGATATTGTCTGTCCTCGCTGTATCCACTGATGCAGCTAGTGTAAGTTACAACCATGCTAAAAGAGACAGGCAGCACTGTCAGGTCCCCAGCAGCACAATGGGTGCTACTCATGTGGCCCTGGCTGCTATATGAAAGGGAAAATGTGATCCAACGCTTTGTGCATGGAAGACTGCCTCAGCCTTTTGAGGATGTATTTTCTCTTCTGTATAGGATTCCTACAGATGCAGGGAGCGCGCTGTGTTTCAGGGGCCCCGGGGGCTGCCTGTGGGCCACATTTAGGTCCTCCTCTGTCCGTCTGCATGCCGCATTAAAACAGATGTTAGGACCTCCGACATAAATCACACGCTGCATTTCATCTCCGGCGCAGTACTGTTTTATGTCATAAGTGTTGCTGCTCGTAACTTAAAGGGCCCAAATGAGGCGTGAGATAGTGACCCGTGCATACTTTAAATGGAACGTTTCTCACATAAAACAAAGGCGGTGTGATGGCTGCATGAACAGGACATGTCAGGGATGATGATACTGTTAGGCTGGATTATCTTCGAGTGCGTGTAAGTGTTGGACAGAATTAAAGGCGTGAATTACATTTTAAAGCAAATATGACAAATACCGCAAACATAAAACGTGATTCATCTGTTTTTAATCGAACTTCTCAGTGTTTAAAAAGGATTCTTACGTGACATTTCATGACAAATGGAGCCTTTCAGGATCCAATTATGATCAGGGCGTTTACATAATTGAATAAACTGCACAAAGCAATTTCCTATTGCACCATCTTCTCACCACAAAATGAAAATATCATCGTGTTGTTGTCAGGCTTTTATATGTTGATGAAAACTAAAAAACTTTAGAGGAAACATCTCAATTTGCTGCAGAGATGCTAAATTTTTTGGCTCTTTTTTTCTAAATTAAAACCAGACTTGAAAATATTTTAGAAACTGTTTTATTACTCAGCGATCTTGCTTATCTTGGCTGTGATAAATGCTTGATTCTGATTGGTTAAAACCGTATAACACCTGGCAATCAGTTCTGAAGAGTGAAAGCAATGCCAGAGACAACCTGATCACAACGCCAGAGAAGAAGGCATATTGATAAAGTTGATGAGTCCACCTCTTCCTGTTGACCATGTGTCAAAAAACAACATCATAGGTCGACAACAAAGAAGCAACCACAAACAGAAACACAAACAGTTAAAGGTAGCTTTTTTTTCACTGTAGGATATGGGGGTCTTTTGTTGGCTGCATTAATTAAAATCAATAAAACCACCTTGTATCAATAACTATTATCTATTGTCTTCAGATGGTAAACACATAATGAGCCAGATACCATCATGGTCTTGTCCGTCAAACATCCATATCCAAGAAAGTCCACCATGACATTTGCAAAAACCAACTGCACAGAGCTTTTAAACATCGCTGTGAAACGGGTCATATTTAAAGCTCCTGTGAGGAGCTTTCAGTTTGTGTCGATTTTGGCGCCCCCCTGTGGACAAAGCGGTCTTTGCTGATTTTTTTCGTCTACATGCTTAATCAGTGTCTTCTGACACAAAAACTCATCCTGCTGATTTTAGAAAGTGAAGTCTTTTAAGTAAAATTTTTATCTATGTGGACGATGTAAACACAGGACTGCTTGGCTGACGCTGATTTCAGGGATAAAAATTACAAAATGAACATTATGAATCTCCTCATTGATGGTCTTTTTAGTTTTTTTTTAATCATAAAAAGTAGGGTGACCATATTCTGACTTCCCAGAAAGACAAGACGACCCCGCGGGGCGGAGTCACAGAGTCACACAAAGTTAATTTTGAGTTTTTCCGATCGGATCGAGTGTCTTTAATACGCTTCTAAAGGGCTCGACAGCACGACCGTTTCACTCGCATTTGCAACTCAAATTGATGTGTGCGAATTGTAAAATGTATTTAGGGTCATATGTGCGCAAAAAAAAAAAAAAATTGCTGTGGCAACAAATATTTTTTCATGTAAATACCACGGTGAAGTTAGTTTTAGGTTGGATATCCGACGGACATTCACTGCAGGTGTCTTCTCACTCTCCATAACCAGGAATAGCGACAGCAGTGCGGTTAAATCTACTCGGCATCCTCACTGTCAGCGTTGGGTGTTGAATAAGGGACCGTGAATAAATTACTGGTTGATGTTCTCAGAAAAGGCTGTTTTCCGCCAATAGCTTTCATGTCATGTGACCAAATGACTTAAAATTGATTTCAAAATCATAGTACTTATGTCGACCAATAGGACACACATAATTTGATCAATTTTCATTGTGCCCCTAAAGTTCCTTGTGTGCTTCTTACTTTTTCAACTTGCACATGTGCTCCTTGTGAAAAAAGTTAGTATCAAGCCCTGTCCTTACTGAGTAAATCCACGTGACACAAAACTGAAACTCTGGTACAAAACTGCGAACATTTGAAGGATTCTATAAACATTCTGTGGACAAACCCGGACAGCCCGGACACCCCCCAAAAAGAGGACATGTCCAGATAAAAAAGGACGTATGGTCACCCATAAAAAGGCGCCATTATGAATTTTAGTTCATTTCATAAACATAAAAAAACTCCTCACTGGAGCTTTAATATGAGATACCACTCCTCAGTCGGTGCTTTAACAGGTGCTTAAGGACCTCCTTCTCTCATGGAGCCGTTTTAAATCATATTGCCTCATAAACTTAATCTCTTACTTGTAAGTAATTTTCAGAAAGTTTAAAAAGTCTCAGTTTAAATACTGAGGAGCCTTAAAGTTACATGTGTCTGTGTTTAATCATCCCCTCCTCTTATACGAGGAGGAGAAGAAAAGGACAGTGGGAGTGGAGAGAAGGAGAAAGTGATATTAACTTCAGGGCTATGACTAAAACAAGTTGTGCGGTTAAATTACTGGACTCCTGCCGTGTGTCATTTCCACTGTGGCTCGCCGTTTGAAGATTAACAGAAGGGCTTTCCAGCAGACCACCTCCCTGCTCTCATCGCCCTCTTCCTCTTATCCTCAATCATAGACTCCAGCCGCCCTCTTCTTCCATAACAGCAGCTCTGAGAGACAATATTTAAACATTTATCACTGTGTTTGGGAACATTAACGTTCCTGTACGACAGCCAAGGTTAAGTGAAACCCAGCATGCAAATGACAAAAAGCAGCACACAAGAGGTGGTCCGAGTCCAAAATCAACCCGAGTGAGAACATTGTGCTCGCAGTTTTATCACATGGCACGGTAGGAAAAATGCTCAACTGCTTTCAGACGATGGCAAAATACATGAATGAGCTCATGTCTAAGTATTTTCTGGATAGTGACTCCCATCAGAACATGACGGTGATTCCCCTGATAGAGAGCAGACCGAGATGGGGGCAGTCATTCTTCAACGAGAATTCAAATGGTGGTTTCTCGCTCCGAGCTCGACCAGGTTTCACGGGAGAGGGGGGGGGGCGACCGCTTTTCCTGACACATGCTCTGGCATCCGCACAACTGGGCCTCCCGCCAACATACCACCCCTGCGAAACTTCGAGTGAATCACGGCGGAGTCTGAATGAGACGTAACAGCTTCAAGGGAATCATTCAAAACAGACAAACTCAGAGTCTCAGCGTCGATCTCGATCAGTGTTTCGGTTTGTGTGTTTGTCTGTGTGTGTGTGTGTGTGCGCATGTGTGTGTGTGTTTCTGTGCCAGTCTTCATGTCAGCACCAGACAATTAGAGGCTTGACCCCGCAGGTCTCCTGCTATGGGAAGCATGGGAACTCTCATAGGAGGAAAACTGGCAGTTACTCTTCAAGAACATGGTCCAACATACGAACGCGTACACACACACACACACACAAACATACACTGCGAGGCGGTTAGGGGGTTCACCTCCCCACGACCCAAGCAGTGAAGCATGCTAAACTTTGACCCCTGTTATTATCTGCCCAGACGCTGAGGTTTGGGCTGGGGTGATAACCTTTGAACTCTGACTCTTAACCCAGGGCCCTGGGCTGGTCTTCTCTCGGATAATCCTGTGTTTGTGTGTGTGTGTGTACAAGTGTGAGTTTGTTAGCGGGACTTTCACAGGAAAAGAGAGATTTTGGATCGCCGTTTGCGTCCCGCAGACGCTCGCTCAGTCACGTCCTCTCACTCCTGATACTCCTCTGCTGGTTTACTGTATACATGTGCTGAGGGGGAGATTTAAACACCACATCCTCCCCCCCTCTATGACTCCCTCGAATATTATTCCTTTTTGTCTGGATCGGCCCCAGGCTCTGTTTACAGATGAGTGGACTGATATTAGATGTGAGCAGCTATAGCCCCAACCCTCTTGGATTACATGGAGTTTATGTTGTAATTGTCATAATAAAGTTTTATATTGAAGAGCCTTTGGAGAAAATTGCAAGGTAGTATGAAGCCTGTGAGTGTTTGTGTGTCTGAGAAAAAGGACATCGAGTGCAGAAAAAACAGAGAGGGAGTTTTTGATCATGTCGAAACGTGAGGATGATTTTTTGAGGACATTTTGGACGTTTGATTTAGTAAAACAGGTGTTAAAGTGTTTGAAAAAATCATGTTCTGTCTCAGTGTGTGTCTCCACAATAACAACACAGCCCCAAATCACTGTCTGAGGTCGAACACTCTCTGGGATAAAGCAGGCCTGACCATAAATTCAGAGTTCAAAATAAACTGAGCTTGTTGCTTTGGTTTCCTCTGGCTGTTTCACAATGTGTGGTTGCTGTGAGGTCTAAGTGCCGCTGGCTGCGAGTGTGTGTACAGAATCACTTTTCACCATGTTCAGCCTGCTCCTGCTGCAACATTTACCTTTCTGCACAGCCATGACCACGCCTGCACCACCAAAATATACAAGGTCCAGAATAAAAACATTTTGTGCGGTGTAATTGCAGGGCAAACATCAGTCAGCCTGCTGGACTGCATATTCGCTCTGTGGCAAATAGCCTCTGACACCGAAAGGGGGGCTGTGAATAAGTGCTCCAAGAGTGTTTAACGATTTCACACTGAATTGTTCCTGCACCTGACTAACATTTGCCCCAACTCGGCTGTTAGAAACATGAACATTGATTTGTTACAGGCAGGAAATTGATTTGTTACTAACGGCTTTTAACCTTTTTGTCCTTTCAGTGTCTAAAGTGTGCCCCCCCTGCGACAACGAGCTGAAAGCAGACAACATCATGGAGCATTTCTGCGCCAGTGACTTTGGTGAGTAGAGTGAGTTTAACGTGAGTTTTAAACACAGTTTAAAGTCAAAGTGATTTTATATCATGTCCGATTTACAGTGCCTATTAAAAGTATGTTTTACTCAATATCTAGATGAGCGAAAGTACGATTTCCAAAGTTTTGACACAGCTGAGTTTAATATAACATTTTATTTACCATACGATGAAAATAAGGGTGATATGGTCCCTAAAAATGAGCTTTGTATCAGTGTATCATTCGTTCATTCCATATCCATTTTAGAATCCAAAATCGGAAAACGGATAATGACTTGTTTTGTTTAATTTTTCGTTTTCAAATCAAAAATCGGAAAACAAATAACGGCCTATTTTTTTGCTGTTTTGATTTTGTTTTGAAATTAAAAATAGAAAATGAGAGAATGGGATTATTATGGGATTTTTGTTCTATTCGTTTTTGGTTTGAAACATTTTCGATCCGTTGTGACCTGGAAGTTTCCCCCTCAGGGGGAAATTGCTTTTGTCACAGTAAAGAGGAGATAAATAATAGATACAATAAGTAAAAAATAAACTGATTAATAGATAAAATAAGTAAAATTAGTGAAAATAAAGAGATAATATACAAGTATGTACACTATATACAACACAAAATAGTAAAATAGAGACTTTCCCAAGTGACAGCAGAGGATGATGGCACAACTTTAGGTGAGTTCTACCAAAGTTACCAAGTTCAACCTTATCGCTAGCATGAATCGATTGCAAACTGTAAATGTCACTGTGCCTCTGCAAAGAACCTCTAGTTCTGTGCACAAACTGAACTTGCATCAAAAATATCCATCAACACATAATAAAGGCAGCTGTGTTAGAAACGTGCAAAAGCTAAAGCCTCGGTTTTAAAACTAATAGCCTAAAATGATAGGTGGTGAGAGGGTAATGAACACCAGCTGAATCTTTATGGATGTTTTATGTACTTAGGCTCAGCTGTCAGTTTGAAGGTACTTCGCTGGAGGATATAAATATCTAATTTGAGCTCTAGTATCGCTTTAAATCAAAGTTTTCATCCTCTGTCTCCTCCAAATGTTTATGAGTATTTGGAAAACGCTGCTCCGACACAAAGACACGAATCACACGTGAATTTATCACCTTCCCTGTAAGCTTTTCTCCCCATAAATTGATGAATTATTTTAAAGTCTTTCAGTCCCAATAGTTCATTCAACACCATTTTCTAAACTTTCCAGCATTCCAGCTTCACCACAGTTATGACCCACACAAGACGCCAGAATATAATTATTCCATTATTTCTGCTCATCGAGGCTTTTGGCCCATCACACTCTGCAGCCGCTCAAGTCCTGCCTGCATGAACAATCGCCCCAGTCCTCAAAGTTAATGACCAACTACTCGGTATTTTCTCCCAGCTAGAAACTGCGACAAAAACTCATAACCTTGGAGGACTCATAAAGAGCATGGCTTATGTTTCTGAACAGATTAGCGAGAATAAAGTAACTGAAAAGGAAACCATTTTCCTATGTTGCCGTGTCCCACAGAGGGATAATCTGCGGTTTCATAATCGCTCTTCAAGCAGTTACCCACACCTACAAAATGTTATGAATACACAGAACATGACCCCTTATAAATCACGAGTTAATGCACACCCAACACATCACGTCCAACTACAATAACGAATACGTCTTTACACACATTGCTCATAACCTGAGCCGCAGCCAGAACATAGTCTCATCCCCGATTATTAATCACAAACCCAGACATTTATTTGTCTGATTAATTCAGGGATTACACATCTCAATCTTCAAACATGTGGGGAACAGAAAGCCACAAAGAGATTCTTTCTATTCATTATGGTGAAACATGACCATATGTGTGAGCCGTACTCCAACATTTCATGGGCTATAGATGTATATGACATGAGGATGAGTCGGGATGTCAAGTTAACTCTGACGTATGGATTTGGAGATCAAGGCAAGAATGACTCCTCTGTGTTTTTGTACGAGGCGATAGCTGACTCCGGCTCGATCTCACGCCTCCTGAATGTTGTACCTTTTCATCTCCGAACACGTTTACCCCTCGGAGGATACCGTACTTAGTGTTTTATTACAGCCCACGTTTGATGTCTGATCTCTCCACATTCCTTGTTGTATAATCCAGAGGCAGATGACAAAAGTAGAAAAGAAAAAGGAGGGGAAAGTTGGTGAGGTGTACGGTGGAGACAGTTTGATAGCTGAGGGAGGTATGTAGAGAGTCTAAAGCCAGAGTTTTAAGTGTCACAAAGCTGGCTGTCCTGTAACCTGGCGAGATCACAGCGTTAACTCATGCTGCACACCTGGAGGTTGTTCTGGTTAGGGATTTGAATTTAGTTTGGCTTGATAGTTTCGTTTTTTTGTGAGGAAATATCCCACACATGAAAATCATTGAATTGCACTAAAAAAGTAAAAGAGTAAATGTAAAAAGTTACAGCTTCTTTGACGTATTCATCACTTTGTCTGGAAATCGTCTTCTGCTGAGTCATCCTCCTGTTTTTTACTCTACTCTTTAAATCTAACACACACGATCAGACACACACCGAAGGCACAATGAGCGAATAGCAGCTGCAGGCCTAAATAGTTATTGTAGATTTCGGTGAATCAGATACTTTTACCATCTTGAAGGTGGGCTGCATCCTTCAGACCCCTGCAACCAATATACCGGCGTTAAATGATGAGAGTGGGTTTTTACAGTGTTAATTTACTCAGAAGATTGTGCTATACAAGCTCAAGCTTCATTAGTGACTGCTATTGCAACCCACTAGACACAACCTGATGCAACTAAGATAGAAAGGGTGTATGAGTGTAACTTTTTAGGGGTGAAAATGGACCATAATCTCAGTCTGAAACCACAAATAAACTATGTTAGGTAAAAGCTGGCTAGGATTATTTGCATTTTGAGTAGGACAAGACACATATTAAACCGTAAAACTTTATACTTATTATAAACTATGCTTATATTACCATATCTGACTTATTGCATAGAAGTTTGGGGAGAAACATACAAAACAAATTTACAACCTTTATATACTGTGCAAAAGAGAGCAATAAGGATCGTTGACAAGGCAGAATTCTTCCGTCACACTAATGAACTGTTTCTGAAATAAGGAGTATTAAAATTTGCCGATCTAGTTGAATTTAGAACTGCACAGACAATGTACAAAGCTAGCAACAATCTACTCTGTAGTAAATTAAAGAAAATGTTTGGTGGAAGAGAGGGCAGGTATGCACAGTTTAAAAGTAAATTAAAGCAGAGTATGATTGAAAAATACAGACAAAAGTGATTTTTAGTCAAAGTGAAGTGCATATTTGTGTGTATATACGTGTATATAGGTATGGATGTATATATAAAAGGTCTTTGTTTCTATATTAATGATTTCTTACTTATTCATGTTAGACTTTGGAGCTTTGGTTACTTTTTGGCGACATCAGAAATTCTAAATTCTAGAGACGTGTAAAGGGTAAACGAATTGGAAGGAATGAGAGTAGGTACATATTAGCTAAATAGCTTCAACCGACTCTACTTTTCAATCTCCAGAAAAAGGGAATTTCTTGTCTAGAATTGTACTGTATGTATATTTTATCGAATAATCAATCTCAAATACTGATTGGACTAGTCTAGCATTGAAGAAAACAGTGGGGTAATACTGAGTAAACAGACCTTGCGGAGTGCCGGTTTGATTGAAACAACTCTTCAGAAACAGCTGGAATGACACCAAGCAAGTTGGTTGCGGGTAGTGGGGTCCATACCTCAAACTATTAAAGAGGCTGAGATAAACTGTACCAGTAGCTAGCTGGATTGCAAAGTTCCACATGGTGAAAACAGATGTAGCTAGAATGAGCTACACAGCTGTACAGAAACATCATCATGGACTTATGAACATACTGGGAATCGTCACTCCGGAAGAAAGTTTGAGTATTTTCCCAGACTGTGTCTTATAGACTTCGATTCCGTATCATCAGGTAGTTTTGGTGTAGTTTAGTTTGAAACAGTTGCAGCTGCTTTTAAGTTTTAGTCAGTAGGTTCAGTGGTTTGCTCAAACTTGAAGAAAACCTCAATATGATGATTACGTTTTGTCCCTTTTTTCTACCACTACGTCCAATCCACAGAGGGCCCAACTTTATCTCTTATGACTAAATATGGACATGCATACAAAGCAATTTAGAGTGGTTTATGAATAAAGTCTATGAGTATATAAATACAAACTTAGTTTAGGCATAAAGGCATATGCATGCAGCTGTCAGTGAAGTAGCTGGATATGAATCAGTATGCAGACCAGACGCTGCAGCCCAACAAACATTCCCTCTTGAAACTGCTATCACTTTGCATGTACTGTACTGTATATGCGTATCAGGGTGTACCAAGAGGTGTTTACGCAACCGTAGACAAGCAGTCCAGAAGTAAAATGGCGATCTTCCAACAGAGCTTAGGTACACAGCAATTTTTCATACAGACCTTGTGCCTTTGCCTGGTCTATGATTAATCACCTGTCAAAATGTTCATCCAGAGAATTCCTATCTCAAATGTTTGGCAGTTTTAATTTTAATCTTTCATCTGATACAACTTGAGTTTCAAGAAAAAGGCTCAAAATGAAAAACGAGTTCAGACTTTGTGAGATTGTTAAAACTGGATTTCGAATTGAAATTGCAACTTTTCACAGCAGAATATAACCCACATAAGGTCCAAAAATAAATAACTAGAGGCATAACGTATGGACTGAAATCAAAGGTTTGATATAACGGTATTTTTACAATGTTTTGTTACTTTCAGGAAAGATTTTTAATTCAAGTGCAAAACACAAAATCAGCCCCAATGGAGGATCTGCAGCCTCTCAGTTTCTCACCTAATTATACATGCGGTTACTTGAAGTAGGCGGGGTTGACGTGATAATAAGGCACTAACAGACTGCCCAAATATTGTCTGAGGAGGTATTGTGCAGAAAGATGCATCTACACCAGCACACCAGACATACAATCAAGAATCTGACACAAAACCGCGGGCGGCAACTGTTGAAGAGTTGCACCTGCAATAACAGCAGCATGTCTTTGAGTGGTATGCACATTTGTGAGCAGACAGCATGACTGGTTTAATTTTTGAGGATTGCTTTGAGAGTGCCTATGCAAATCACTCCTGTGGTGATGTCACCACAGGGAACCGTTCAGATTGTAGAAGCTCTGTTTTCTGGTGGGCTACAGAAATGAGGCAGATGCTTTTTCACTTTATATTCTCGAGGTTGCAAGGCTTTTATAGCCAAACAGACTGCAAAAGGAAATTATTTGACCTACTTATGCAAGAAAAATAAATGTTAAGTTAGAGAGTCATTTCATTGTCAACATTCAGGAGACTGAAGGAACTGCCATTTGCTGATGGAGACTTGTGACTTGTGCTGATTGTCAAAGTCTCAAGTGTCGACTTTGACCTGCATTGAAATACCTTGGTTTTAACTTCCTTTTGATGGCTTTCCCCTCCAAGTCAGGTATACAAATATACCCACAGGATACCGTCTTTAAACTCTGCAGGAGACGGTAAATGATGACACTCAGGAGAGGTGTAGAATAGCCAAGAGCTTAGTGCTGGTCTTAAAGAAACATCATAACTGCCCATAGTATTAGGTAGCTGCAACAGATTGAAATATAAACTGCTTCTGGCTGTAAATATCTTGAATTTATAGAATTATTTAAATATGTCTCATTATTTTCCCCCTCAGCCCTCAAGATGAAAATCAAGGAGGTGAAGAAGGAGAAGGGTGACCGGAAGCTGATTGCAGCACAGAAGAAGAAGAAAGTGTTGAAGCAGGGTGTGCTGAGGAAAAAGGACCTGAAGAAACTAACCCTGTACATCAAGAATGGCGCCAACTGCCCGTGCGCCCAGCTGGACAGCCTGAGCACCAACTTCCTTATCATGGGCCGCAAGGTGGACCAGCAGCTGCTGCTCATGTCCATTCACAAGTGGGACAAGAAGAGCAAGGAGCTCAAGTTTGCCATCAAGTACATGAAGTCCCACCAGTGTCCCACCTACCACACCGTCTTCCAGTGATGCTGCTCGCTTTACCGTTCACACAACTCACGACTGTTCGCCACATTCCACCCTGTTCCAAGTAGACCTTATTTTCATTTTGATGTTGCAGTTCTCAAACCCAGATCCTAAAAACAGCCCACAACTTGGTCGAAGGAAGGGGGTTTAAGAGTAATCAAGCTTTTATTTTCTCAGCTTTAGCTTGAATCCGGCAGTCAAGGGGTCATTTTAATCTGCCAAGATCAATCACAGTTTTAAGCGTCGGAGCGTAAAGGAGGTTTCACAATTCACAGCTCCCTAACAATGAAAACATCCTCATAGAAACCACAGATTTTTAGTAAGTCCAGTGTAATTATTACATTTCTCTAAGACAAACAGACACTTAAGCCTGCCTCTTCCAGTGTGAATATTCTTTCCTAACAATACTTCTTTTCTCAGCTGATATGGAACCAACCAATCACTTCTATGATATCCTACTGTTATCAAATAGACTATATTACAAAGAAATGCAAGACTAAATATTTGCATCAATTATCGGGGGAAATATATTTGATAATAACTTGATTATAGTCAGACAGAGCAGGAGTAGGAGGTTTGTTTCTGTGTAAGAGGAGAGATGATACTCTAGGGCTCCGCTTTGGGCCCAATGGCACAGTGCCCCTAGAAACAACGTCAAAGCAGAGAGATATAGATGATCCGCTTAAGTGTATGTTTTGATAGTGTACAAAGTAGAAAACTCAGATGTTTACTAGATGATTAGGTACCTGGGCTTTTTTTCTTTTATCCCTGCTGGGAAAGAAGAGCGATGGAGGAAGACAGACACACAGACTGGATGATGCTTCCACTGACTTTGTACAGCTCTGTTTTTGTGGCCTGAGAGAGAAAAACTTGAATTTTTTTTTTTTTTGCTTTTACAATTGGATGGAGAGATTAAGACAGAGAAGAAATCGTCCTGTAAACAAGTGGAGAATGAAAGAGAGGAAAGAAAGAGAAAGAGACTCTGGACAGAACCAACAATGTTGGGTTGATAAGTCTCTGGTACTTGTTATTTTTCACTATAACTCTTCTGTTTTTTTGTATTCAAATTTTTGAATTTCTTTCAGTTAAACATATAGTATGAAAGCAGAAATCATACGTACAGACATAGCACCTGAACTCACTGTTGCTGTAGCAATAAAAGATGAAATTTTAACTTTGACAATACTTTCTAATCAGTTAACCTGTAAGTAGTCCTGTTACTGAAATACAACTTTGTTTTACAAGAAAATAAATGAATAAAATATATTTCAAATTTTTATAAAGAATTTTTCTTTGAACTGTGCCGTGTCTTTAATGATTTAATGACTGAGCCACAAAGAAAACACAAGCACACACTTCAGTTATTTATAGACACTTTTATGTTAAACGCAGTTCCTATGAATCCATTGCTTTTATGATATAATAAATAAAACTTGTAGTCAAAAATTGGCATTAAAAGAAAGGGGAATTACTCCAATCGCCTGTTTCTTAATTTCCTTTTGTGGATGCAGTGGTCCAAGCATTAATATTTCTTTTCTTTAAGTGGAAAATAATCAAAGAAAAGCTTTGAAAAAAACCTTGTTCAAGATGCAGTTTTTCAAATACTCTGACATGACTCTACAGATTGAACATGGCCTGCGTTGTACTTCATTTTGTCTTTCAAAGGAAGAAAAGAGGTGAAATTTCCATTACTCTGTGCAGTGCCAAGACCCTCCGATCCACTCCTGGCCTGAGGCGTTACACAAAGCCTGGTCTACAAAACCACCAGCATTTAATTCTTAAGACTAAAGGGGTGAGGCGGACAGACAGCAGGCTGCAACGTACACGACCAACTTTATCAAAACCACCCAGAGCTTAACCACTCCAGACGAACACATAACAAATTCATGGCAGTGAAAAGAATTTGGCTTTTCTGTCCTCCAAAATTGCAAAATGGATCAATTGTGAAACTGTACAGTTTTTACAGTCTTCCACCCATATTTCCCGAAATGTGGAGCCTTTTGGAGAGTGTTTAGAGCGTGAAAGCCAGTTGAGTTATAACCTATTTCCATCTGATTTTTGAGATAGAGCATGCTTTGGCTTCACACTCTGGAATGAGAGAAAGTGGACGAGACAAGGATAATTAGACGAAATGTGTTGGACACAACTGTCTTTTTATGGACTTTAAAACCTTTAAATCCTCTGTGCATGATCAAACAAGATGAAAAAGTACTCCAGAATTTCATATGCTGCACAGGAGGAGATTACATGCAGCTTAGAGATACGTGATGTTCAGCTTTCATGAAACGAGCCGGGGAAAAGCAGAGAACTTGGGGTGGAGCAAGACAATGAAGAGGGAAAGGTGAAAAACGAGAGGAGGGAGAAACTTGGCAGGATCCCAAAAACATCCATCAACACCCCCTAAAAGGTCACTCAGTTTGGTTAATGAGGGCCTGATGAGGGACCAGCAACGCACAAAGAAACACACATACACACACATTTGGAGGATCCACGTGTTGGGAAACTTTCACTACAAGACTCTACTTTCTCCTCAGGAAGACTTTGTTGGTCGTGTTCAAGGTAGGTCTTGGCGATTTGGCAAAAAGAAATGATCACGATATATTTTATATTTTAAAATCTTTTTAAACTGCCAGTTTTAACGCATCTGTACTAAAAACTGAAGAAAATGGAGATTAGCTGAACGATTTATTTTCATACAAAGTAAACAACAAAGCAAATTAAATCAGAAAATATAGAAATATATAAAAACAATTTTTACTCAACAATAAAATAATGACTCAAAGTCATGGCTGACGTCTATTTTGCTGCCCTCAGCTCCCCATTTAGCTCCATGTTCGGTCATTCTGTTCTCCTGTTTACTTCCCCGACAACTTACAGAAGTGGGCAGGAAAAGCTTGACTCTGATTGGCTGTTGTGACGCACATTTCTGCCATGTTCAATTGAGTAAATAAGCTCACAGCTGATCACCGTGATTGAAATGAAATTTATCACCTTCATTAATCACGATCATATAATGGCTCAGTCCTTGTTCAAGGTCTATCAAATATTCATCAAAATAGACACACACCACCACCCCAGATGTTGAATGTGTATAAATGCTTAAGACCTCTGTTACCTTTGTACTAAGGTCCCCAGATAGTGAGTATCTATAAATGTGTAAGTCCCCTGTTGGGGTGATATTTAAGTACGCTCTCACACACACAAAATTCAGTGGTTTGCTTTTTGGATGATTTAAGGCTTTGTGGTCCTCAGTGATGAATGCGTGACAGTGTTAATGTCCACAGAAGTTCGATATTTAAGTGCACACTCACACAAATACACACACCTTTAAGAAGAAAGGCCACATTGTTCACTTTTATTGCGCTGTGCTGATATGCAGCACCTTTTTCACAGTTGAATAGAGTCTGTCTGCTTGACTGTCACCTGCATGACTGCCCACACACACACACACACACACACACACACACACTGAGACTTGTGTTGTATTTTCCACTTTTTCCACATTTTCCATTTCTTGTGATTAAACCCAGAGTTATGGGTGTGATCTACTCATAATGACTTTTTCCACTACAGAGAAAGTATTTCCTTGTGTGTTCAAGTTTGTTTTAGATGTGAGCTGTTAAAGATAGTTTTTTTTAAATTGTAAAGTGATCCAGATAAGTTACTCATCTTTTTACAATCAGAATTAAGTTATCATTTCGTACAACTGCAAGACTTTTTAGACAGGTTTTCGAGTAGCTATTTTTGACAATCTCATTAATTTAAAGTTCATTCTGGACCAGAGGATGACATTTTTCGGGATGGGAGTCATTTTTTAATTAATCCCGTGATCGGGACAGGAAAAAAAGGAACGGGAGCGGGCAGGAGCGGGAACAACATGAATAGATGATCATTTGCAGCCGTATTGAACAACCAGATGAACAGATGCGTCCATTTTTGTAGTCATCTCTCAGTGAGAGCCAACACTCTTGACCGCGCTAGCAACACAAAAGAACTACAGCAGTGGTTTGACTTCCTGTCAGCTGGGACCTCTGCTGCGCATTTCTAGCCTTCAAGCTAGGAGCGTGGATATGTCATTTTGTGACATTCTGTAGTTTTTTAATCATTTCTGGAGTCACGGTGAATCAAATCATTACACCCGTCTGCCTCTGATAGGCAAATAAACACTCGGATTCATGCTCTGATCTTGCTACGTGATTTAAGAGAAAAGTAAACAACGACGGAGGCAGAGAGCAGCTTCAGAGGAGAAACATCCAGCAATGTGAACAACCTCTTCATATGGAGGTCTTTGGTTCACAATATCGGCGGTTTCTGTGAGTGTTGCATGACTTTTGGTGAGCACAGAGATGAACACACTTCAGCCACATATTTATTTATTCATTTTTCTAAAAAAAAATCGACCCCCGTGTCATGCTCTATTCTGGACTAAAGTTGACTCTTTACAGATGGTGGCAGAATCTGCATATCAAAGCATGAGAAAAGTGGTGTTGATTTTCAGAAAGTCCCCTCCTAAAATTCTGAATTTGTGCCTTTTCCAAGTTTTATTCTGAAACCTGGTGGAAAAATCTTGTTTGGCATTTAATCTGGAAACAACAGAGTGAAGCTTAATTGGGTTTGCCTAAAAAACACATCAACTCCACTCATAATAACAAAGTGACATCTGAAGTGATTACAAACTCTGGTCTATCTTTATCCGTGAGGGTTTGTTTTATTTTTTTAATAGAAACAGACGATGAAAGAAAGAGACAAAAATCCAGAAATCCAATATTCAATATTAAATTTTCTTCAGTGTTCAGTTAGAGGACCAAAAAAACACACTGAAGAAAAGTCTTTGATTCTGACAAACCCAGTCGAAAATTTGCTGCTGAGGTTGTGTAATTCATTGTCTTTGGAAGACTTACTGAAAACTGGAAACAAAAGAACATTTTTCAGAAAATAAGTGCAAATGCTTCATTGACTACAATTGTTAACAGTCACAAAATGAGCAAAACTTGGAATAATCTCATTTAGTTTTTTCTTTTAACTAATACTTTGATGCAGGAATGAACCCACACTCACACACACAAGCTTACGTACACACTAATCAGATTTGACTAGTCTACCTCAACTGAAAAAGAGCATTATATAACGTTCTGGAGGGTCCAGAGAATTCCTATTAGCTGCAGCATGCTTCTTTCTGCCCGCTACACAAGGCACCATTAAAACAGCATTACCAAGTAAGCCAACATCCTTCTGGTCTGAACCACTGGACCACCTGTCTGCAGGAAGGGCGGATAGCACACAGAGAGAGAGAGAGAGCTGTACGTTCATATATGTAACAAGAGTGAGGATGGAAAGAGAAGAGAGCACTGGCTCTGAGCCTTGGCCTGCCTTCCTCAATGAAATGCATTAAAGATGTTGTGTTTTGTTGTTGTGTGTGTTTTTTGTGAGTGTGTTTGCCTATGTGCATAAGCGTGCCGTGTAGCTCCCTTTAAAAAGGCCCAGAGCGAGCCAGGGAATCATTTTCTCCCTGTAATAAAGTCAGAGGAACTTTCTCCATGTGGTACACACAAAGCGAGCGGGCGGGCTGCTTTCCACCACGTTGCTCTCATCTACATGCAAACTCACTGCGGCCGAAAAGCCAGTTTCAGCTGGCTGAGTAATTTTCTCATTTGTAATGAATATGAATGATAAAAGGGGATTGTTTCTGTAATTTCATTACCAAACCACAGCAACCAGAGGTCTGAACATTTTGAACAATGCATGTGGAATACAAAGCTGCTCTTTAGAGTCGCAGGGACAATTTGCTTTTCCTTCTGACGCTCACACAGATCATTTAACATCTTGTTGAATTATTGCAGACTGGTGAAGGTGGGGGATTGCTTTCCGTGCTGCTTTTCTATTTAATATGCTTCCTCTCATCTTTACTTTAGGTGAACTTAAAGAAAAACAATATTAGGGTTTCCTCCTGTGGCTAACAGCAGCAGAGTCAGCACCCCCGGCCTTTGGTTGAAGGTCGGTTTTTACATGCCTGTACTTTAACATACTGTTCCAGTAAAGGGGTTAGAGTCCAGTTTATCCAGAGACATCCTAGATACAACTTCATCTTTTTTCGAGACCAAAATCACGATCCCGCTGTCCGTTATTCACCACGAAATTCACCTCAGTGGAGGAAGGAATTGGCGGATGGTGAAAAATCACTGCCGAGATGCCATCTGCCATATGCATATTTACTTTTAAGTACCAGAGCATTATAGTAAGGTGAACAGTTTGATCCTTAGTCCTGTAGTCCACATGTCTTTAGGCGAGACACTGAACCCCCCAAATTGCCCCCGTTGGTTGTACCAGCAGTATGAATGGGATTAGTCATCACTGATGGGTTTTAAAAGCAGCTCCTGCCATCAGTGAATGGACATGGTGAGAATGGGTGAATGTGACATGTAATGTAAAAGCATTTCAAGCTGTTAAAAGACTAAGGAACGCACTATAATTACAGTTCATTTGCGGATTACCATTTATAGCAGGAACAATGTGCTGTCATTCAAATTAGATTTTATACTAAAATATGAATCATGCATGTATTCTGAGTCATAAAAGCTTTCCCTGTTTTCTTCTCCAAATTACACATCCATGACGCTGAGGATGTCATCATATCTTAGAATAAAAGCCTTCGCCTCAAGGACATCATGATTACTCTATGTGCATTATTACATACGTTTTTCTCAATGTAATCTGTTGTACTTTTGTGTTGCTCTATTAATTTTGCATCTTTGAGTAATAAGGCTTTCTTATATTTGTTTGCATGAGTTACATTCTGCCTTCATGCCTCAATATGTTAATAATCAGTATTCAGCGACCTTTTAAATCAGAGCTCGTTCTGTTACTCATTAATACTCGACTGACAGTTGATTTCAGCACATTCGACAGGTCCCGTCTCCTCAAAATTATGCAGGAGTGAGCGAATTCCTCCACAGCTCCTCCACCCAGTGAGTCATCCAGACAGTGAATGAATTATGGGAACTCGTGTTTTCAAACCAAATAATATATTAATGACTCCTGGACAAAAAATACCTTGTATTTCACTACCTATTCAGTCATTTCAGCAAGGTGTTCATACAGGCGCTGTATTGGCAGGACACTGAAAGTTCAATAAGTGTGGCATGGAAGGGGTTAAAACTCAATACTGTCAAATGTTGCCATCTGTAAAGGGATATTCTGGCGTAAAATTACTTTATTTCATGACTTTATCATTTCCTTGAAGTAAGAATCACCATGTTAATCATTTTGCTCTGCAGACGCGGTAGTTCTTCTGTCTTAACATCTCAGTCTGATTGGATTTCCATGAAGAAACATAAATGTTCTTCCTTGAGCTGCGTCACCCCACTGTAGTCCATAACGGACTGGCCCAAGGTCTTGTTACAAACAAGCGACTGCTGGAAGAGAGTAGGTGAGTTGTGTTTAGTCTCTATAGAGCGAAGGAAAGCTAGTATAACAAATATGTATAAGATTTGCAAGATGTGCTACATGAAAATAAAACATTGTGTAAATAACACAAACATACAGGTAAGACAAATGCTAAATTAGCTTAACAGTTGAAAAATTTTATAAATCGCAGTATATTGTATCGCAATACTCTCTGTATTGCAAAATGTTAAAAAACGCAATAATACTGTATCGTGGCCCAAGTATCGTAATAATATCGTATCGTGGGGCCACTTGTGATTCCCTCCCCTAAAATTTATCAATCTTTAATTTATATTTACTCAGAAATTCCTCTGTAATCACTCCGTATCATTAGTTTGACCTCATCTTCTTTCTCAGGGTGGTGGCAATGCACCTGATATTATGTCCTAAAACTGGGAATAAAACCCACAGGAATAAATCTTTGTGCTGCTTAATGATTTACCCTCATATGATATGCAAGTCTTGTACAGTTTACCAAACCACCACCCATATGAGAGAAAAACCGCCTTCCCCAACCAGCTCTGAGCTCTCCAGATAGCGATCCAACATGAAGTGGCCGAGTGTGAGAGGAGTAATGAGTGACAGTCACATATTAGCCTTTCTTTGTTGGACCTGTGTTCCCCTTTGACTCAGTGACACAATAACACTGTGACAATGATATTCAAGGCCTGTCAGCTGGGGGTGATAAGGTTAGATCCACAGCACACACACACATGCACTACAATACTGACATGGGGAAAAGAGGGCAGAGGGGGGGCCGAGGGAAAGAGTGAAGGGGGAGAAAAGGGACTGGATAAGAAAACACCCAAGCTGCTCTCAAGGGACTTTAGCTCTCGGAAACAATCACATAGGCCCCAGTGTCTCCTCTGCAGTGGAAAATGAATAAATTAATAGGTGGAGTAGAAGGCCTCCCATGGGCAGGGTCCTGAAGCCATATGTAAAGGCCATCAGTGTGTCCCAAACCTGCTGTTTCCCTACTGAACCAACATGTCAGTGCCGAGATTTACGGCCGCATGGAAAGTGGTGACACACACGGTCACACACACACACATGCAGATGCACACAAAATAGGACAGAGATAGAGATTCAGCCAAACATGCATTTATGTCTGCTTTTACAGAGGGGTGTAAAGATGGAAATGCATTTACTCTGCAAGTTTCATATTTTATAGTTTCAAAATTAAAACCACACGTATTAGAGAGATGAGTGCATAAATCAGCGTTAACAGAACTTGCTGCGCTATATAATTGAGGCTGACTAAAAAAAAACAAAGAATCTCCACTAAAACCCACGTTAAAAAGCCGAGCCGTACAACTGGGATAAACATGTTTACGGTCGTGGGAAAAACAGTTTCAGTTTGAAGAACTCATTTGTACAATGGAGTGATAGGGCCACATAAAGAAAAAAAGACTTTGAGACTAATTTATGAGAAGAAAGTCATAACTAACAAGAATAATATCCATACTTATGAGAGTAAAGTCGTAGTAAAGTAATTACTCATGAGAATAAAATGGTAGTAATGTAATTACTCACAAGAATAAAGTCGTAATAAAGTAATCACTCAGAGAGTAAAGTCAGAATTAAGTCCTTAAATTCTCACCTGTTGTTTCAGATGACAGTTGTTGAAATGAGAACCATGGAGCATTTTGTGAAAATGTACTTCAGTATACGTTTCTTGAACAAGGAGCTACTTTTGGCACATCAGCACCACATTATCAAAAGTATCATAATGATTTCATTACGACTTTATTCTCGTAAGAAATTATTTTACTACAGTCTTGTAAATTAACTAATTTCATCTGAAAGTCTAAATTTTTTTTTCTTAATGTGGCCCTAATACTCTGTCGTACATTTGTACACACTGTACAGCGCGATTTTTTTACTACTCCATCTTTTTTCAACATATAAAATTGAAACTTTTTGCATGTTTTGGCACAGCTAACTTGACTGACTGTGTCCTTTTTTCATCTATCAAGGTTCGTCTGACTATGAAAAGTTGATTGTCCTTAAAAGATGGAGTAAGCAAGGTAAAATGTCAATTCTGCAGCTGGCCAGTAGGGGGAGCTCCAAATGTTTTGGCTTCAGTAGCTGGATAGCTGTAATGTCATCCATCTTTTTGCCCAGTCTGTAGCACCAACACCGGAGTGGAAACAAAGGTTCACACTCTTCACACACCCTTGTGCACCGACACTCCTAACCCTTGACTGACGCACAGATTTACACCCATTTGGAAAGACAAGCGTCAGCCAATAAAGAAATTGGTTTCCCTGGAGACCTGTTGACCTCTCTCTCTCTCTTTGTCAGCAAAGGTCAAGGTCAGGCTGGAATGAGTGGAAGCTTAGAGGGAGGGGACAGCGTGTTGATGATGTGTGCGTAAAGTATGACGGTCTTCACGCACATTCACACACACAGTCCGAGCCTCCTTGGTGGGAGGAGTCAGCAGCCTCCTTGTTTTGGCAGTCGGGTCTCGACCCCTGACCCCATCGGACCCTGAGAGACGAGGCAGTCTCGTCAGGTGGGACAGTGTCCGCTAATTGACATAATCTCCAATCTCCTCCTTGTCAGTCTCCTTTCAGACAGAGCAGGCTAATCAGTGTAGCTCAGAGAGGGTGTGTGGCATCTGCTATTGTTAGCTGGAAATGGTCCCTGTGCCATTGTTAGCTCTGTCATCATGTCCTGCCTTCTGTCCTGGAAAGCGAACACAATGGGTACTTAAATGGCACACTGATCCACTGATTTAGGGTCTTAATGACTTTTAATTTGAGTTCTAATAAAAGGAATCCGACGGCAGGGACTTATTTTGGTTCTCGTCAGCCTCTGAGAATTACAGTGAACTTTTTAGGCATCCCAGCGTGGCCAAAAAACAAGCAATAAACAACCTTCAGCTCACTTGACTTAAAGGTGGGGTAGGCAGGAATCTGTTAAAGAAGCATCTTTTTTTGTGGTGTTTATACAAAAAAGCTTCTAATATCAGTCAGTAGCTATTAGTTATTGATGACATTTGGAAATATCACAGTATCGCTGGGTTTTGTTATGTCTGTGTAGTCAACATTTAAGATTCTTTCTGACTGTAAACAAAGCCGTTCTCTGCCTCCTCTAACCTGACTGGTTGTGAGGCAGACGCTGCTCCCCTGTGTCGTTCACGAGCCCAAACAAAAGTTAGCGTGCTACAATATCGGACAGTAGAAACCAACCAGAAAGTACAGAAAATTGTCTGAATCCTCCTTTGGCCACGACTGCCAACAAAAGCAAGAAAACAAAGTAAATACCGGAGACTCTGGTGGAATAACGGGCGCTTAAAACAGAAGTAGACCGGACAAGAGCTAAGAAGCCGAGTCAACATTAAACTATAGGGGACGCTTTAGGATCTTGGTGACCCTGTAATCTTTCTGCTGGACAGGTAAACCGCTTTAACAAAGTAAGACAAGTGTCTGTAACAGAAGTGTTTCTTGTCAAACGGACCTGCTGTAGCGTGTTGTAGCACCGCTAAACTGTTGACCTCGGGTCCTGGACTATGTCACTTTATCCTAGTTGTAGAAGTCCTGCAAACATTGTGTTTGCTGGTAGTCTGTTGGCATCTACAGTAGCACCAATGCTTTTTACTTTCACGGTGATTGGGCCCCGTTTGTAATTACGAGCGAGCAGGAGCGTCTGTTTGTGGGCCGGGCTTGTTGGAGCAGAGAGGGAGGGGAGAGGAGGAGCTGAGGGGAAAACTGGTTGGGAGGGGTAGAGTTTACATTCAAGATTTCTCCCAAAAACTGGAACTAACTCAGATCCTACCTACCCCACCTTTAATTTGATCTATTTTATGCTCTACATCTTGTCTTGTTAGTCTTATCTATCTTTTTCATAACAGTTTTTCCTTGTATGTTACTTTGAGTGTTTTAAAAGCACATATGCTGTAAATAAAATGTATTATTAGTATTTGAAATCATCAATCAAAGGGTCTTGAGTTTGCAGAAACAACATCCTGATGCAGATTTTTAAGAGTGCAAGCTTTCAAGAGAAGAAAAGACGACTAAAATTGTTGGTCTGGTCGGACAAACTGTGGTAAAGCTTATGTTGTGTTGTGGTCCAAGAATTGAAATGCATGTTTTTGAAAAAAAATGTGAATTTTTGGTTTAAAGACAACAAAAAAGGGATGATCAGGAAAAAAAGTTGGATTTCAAATGAGTGAAAATGCGGAAAATTAAAATGTTTGAGTTTGATTTGTATGCAAACAATATTCTGGGAACCTCATCCAACCTTCATCGTTTGTCAGTAATTTCGTGATAAATCTCTGTTTTTCAGTCCTGTGTAGCTGCATATTTAAAGAATCAAACAGCCTTTGCGTTTACATTCTGTATGATTGTGGATTTGATGTTTTATGACCGCTCCACACAGATGTCTGCAGCGTGCTCAAAACAACACGAAAATTCACATTTTTTCAACCCTGAACTGAGCTGCACTTGTCCCTGCGGGCACGGTCAATTACTTTTGACACAAGCCAGAAATGAGAGAAGAAACAAATGAACTCCTTGTGGTTTAAATTTCCATAACTTTCAACAGAAATGGTAGCAAAAAAAAATCCTTTTTGAAAAATAATGCAGCCGTATGTTCAGTCACAGAAGAGTCTGACTCTGAAACACAGAGATCTGCTGTGATCATTTCTGCACCCTGTATACGGAGGTGAGCCCCCAAGCTGCTGACCCAGCTTCACTTCCAATCCTACATGTCACTCCTTTCCCTCTCTCCCTGTTTCCTATTCAAAGTCCTGTCCTGTCAAAATAAAAGCAAAAAAGCCCCAACATAGAACTCAAAAAATGAATAAAGCGCTAATCTCAGCCTCTGAAAAACTGTTGTAATCATATCGATGCACAACATGAAGCCCGCTGCACCTGATGATGGTTCCTTTAAGGTGGAGGGACGAAGAAAAGAGATGTTTACAGTTTGACAACAGTTGGGAATGATTTAAAGCTCCTGTGAGGGACTATCAGTCCCTAAAAATGACAACATACAAACTGTCAGTCTTGTCCCAGATCTCCGAGATGGTCTTATTTACTCGTAGATATCACGATAAGCCATTTATGTAAAGTTCAGTCTATTTCAAAATAGTAAAAAAATCCTTACAGGCGCTTTTAGTCACGAAAGAACAGGAGTTACAACTAAGAAATTAGCCGAACCTACAATGGTGCACATTTAACACCCAACAAAACACTTTATTCCCCCATTTATGGCTATGTTAAAAATCCTCATGACTGGGTGTTTTAAACCAGGACATAAATAATCATTAAACAGTGCTTCTACCCTGACTGGCTTTCTTCAGGCACACTTAAAGTCCTACTTAAACTTGTTTTTCAGAGTCGAACTTAACCGCCTCAAGCCAACAAGCTCCCCCTCAAACTTCGATTCACTCTCATTCAAACACAATCACTTCTTTCATTGTCTAACTATCGCTGACCCTCTTCTGCTGCTCTGCCACATTTGCTTGTGATAAATCTCCCGTCCTCAGAGCTGACATAACATCCATCTGCATCGTAAACTACAGGACTGTGGACACTCCTCACAGTGGGATATATCCACAACATTCAATTAGCAAACTTATAATAGTGATTGGAAAGAAAATATGCTTGTCTGTCACTGATGCCAGGAATAAAGGATTACGATAATCAATGGGATTAAAAGTAAACAAAAATAGATTTTAAGAGAGTTTCAAAATCGGGCAAAAAAGTACCAAAAACTTCTTTGAATAAAAAGGCTTACCACAAACTCTTTCACAATAAATATTCACATAAATCTGCTTTAACCAAAGAATGAATGTTTCCCCCTGTTATGTTTCCTTGGTGCGCGTATAGACTGCTCAGACTTTATCATCTAACTTCTTTCCATGAGCAGATTGTACGCCCAAAAATACGCTCTGTTCTTTTCCCCGCTGCCTAAAACAATAACCCCACCAAATGCAGCTCCGCCGAGCCAGCTCCACAGCAATCTCTCCTCAGCGTTTGAAGTGTTTATGGACATTAATGATCCAACATTTCAAAAGAGCAGCACATGTTTGGCATAGCGGAGCACTCGGGCAGGAGGAGAAGGCATGTTTCAGTGGAAAAAAAGTTTCATCACAAGAGTAGGGTTGTTTTCTTGTTGTAGGATAGTTTTAAGAGTTGTGTGGTCTGAGTACGGTGAGGGCCCTCGAAGAGGCCAAATATAAACCGTCTGACCACGGAGACATCAAAGATACGCAACAAAAAACAGGTGTGTATGCAGCAGGAAGAGCATCCTGAGAGTGAATACAGATGTTACAGGTACAAATGCACGAGTAAAACCTGCAGGACTGGACTTGGTACAAGAAACTTTACCAAGTCTGTTCACCTTTAGAAAAAGATGTAATTATATCTGCTGATTCAATATAAAAATGTAAAGTCGTGAAGCTCTCTAGTTTCTGCTTGTAGTCCGTTTGTTGCACAAGAAGTGTTGACCAATCACATATCAGCAGGTTTTGATAAAAGCAGGAAAAGCAGCGTGAACTCTCTTATCTAGGGAACTAGAGCAAAATTAATGTTTGTGTTTGTTATTCTATTTTTTATAAATCTAATGTGAAGGTAGAAAAGAAGTTTCGGTTTAAAACTGTAAATACGGAGGAATGTTCAGTTAGATTTCAACAAGCACAACATAAGAGCCCTGATACCAACAACCACTTTCTAAATACTGATCTTTGTTTTGTTTTAAATCATTTTTGTACTTGTAATTTTTTGTATTTCCATTGTAAATTTTTTTTTAAATTAGTTTATGCAGGTAGAAAAGGTGAAGAATTTAGTGCCATAAGATACTTAAAATGTCTATTAATTTCTATATTTACATATTCTGGTTGTATGTGCCATTTTATCTGTATTATTTTTGGGGGTTTTGTTTTGTTACTCGCACAACCACCACAAGGGGCACATCAGGTGAATGGGCAGGTAAATGCTACAAAAGGGACACAGGTGAAGCAGTGATCTGGGGAACGGGAAGAGCACCGCTAATCTCAGACACCACTCTCACCCTCCTCACGTACATCACCATCATTGTAAGTTGGACGTGTCTGTCTCTTTCTGTTTGTTTTTCATTGAATCAATAAATGGCAAAAATATAACTCAACAACAACAACCTTGGATTGGACATTGGATTGTACTAGAAGCGCGTCAAAAACACCTCACTCACCCAGACAGTGACTAAAATTCAGGTCAGTAACTGATATCACTATTGTGAATAAGAAACATAAAAACAAATAAACAAACAATCCTGTCTCTTCACTCCTCATCTATTTCTTAAAACTGTAAACCAGAGCGCTCCTTTGCATGTTTAAATCCAACTACTGGGCCATCAAAATATACTCACCAGGCTTATGACAGAAGTTCATATATCCAGTCCAAGTCCATAAACTCAGATCAAGTGCATAAAGATCAGATTATACAGGAGAGCTGGAGGATGTCCATAAAGCAGCAATTACCCTGAGTAGGTACTGTGTGAAATGTTCCAGTATCTGGGGAAATCTTTGGAAAACGGTGGATGATCAAGTTCTATACAGCTGAGTGATTTTGTGATTGCTTTAACTTTAAGTTGTCTTTACGTCGGTTAACTTTCTGCAGTTTTGGGATGCCTGTGGAATTGGCACTTGCGATTTTCTAAAGTGCTGTGGCTTCTGCTGCTTTGATTTCTATTCAACACATCCTGGTTGTGATGACGACTCTTCAAGTGACTCAAAAGATCGGTTGAGAAAGAACTCCGGGAATTTGTACTCCTCTTGGGATCCTTGCGGTTCATATTTTGCAACCTGCGATGGTTTCAACTTTTTCCAAAGTATGAAAACCATCCACGCTGACGCCATTTTACTCTCCCAACAGATTAATCTTTGTCTGATTTTGTATGTCTTGGCAGAAGGTGTACCACCATGAACTCTTTTGGGATTTAAAGACTTTAAAGGTGACCATGTTCTGACTCTCCAAAAAGAGGACACGACTTTGTGGGGGCGGAGTCACGGAGTCGCACAAAGTCAGTAAGTTCGTGTGACACAAAATCGAAAGTTACTTACGAAACCGCGGAAATTTGAAGGATTTTAACAACTTCCCTGAACAAAGCAGGGAAACCAAGACAGCCCCCAAAAAAGAGGACATGTCAGGGTAAAAGAGGACGTATGGTCACCCGAGTAAATCGAACCAGCATTTTTTTAAGTATTCAATTAAATAAAGTTATATCATCTGCATAATAGACATAAATTTTCCAGTTTTCTCCTGATATTTTTTTAGAAATACATACATGTTATACATCTTCAGTAAGATTTGTGCAAAAACAGCTGATAGATATATTTTTACATGAACCAAAGTCGACTTTTGACAAGACGCTGCACTTCTGCTTACCTAAGTACATTTCTCGAGGTGGAAAAAGGAGTAATATTCATCACTATTTAATTGAGAAATGGCGTTAAACCCCTTTTTCCGGTAAACTACTGACAACCTCGCTCACATGTGGTAAAAAGGCACCAGCTGAAAGTAATACGGTGGAACAGACTTTCAGCATGTTTCATGTGTTGATACAGTAAAGGCATCTGAAAGCACTTAAATCAATCTCAACGTGATGAAGTCATTGCTCTGCGGA